GAGGAAGGGTGGAAGGGAGGGAGGGAGGGAGGAATATCGAGAAAGCGACAGGTATATGCATCTAATGTATAAGAATAACCGACGGGATAATTAACGCTTTTGTGAACGGAGAATACCGTCGACTCGTGCACAAGTGCGAGAGACGCGATTTCGCTGGGAAGGGGGAAGAAGAAAAGGGAACGAAAATAAAAAAAAAAGAGAAGAGATATTCCCCCGGTCTTGCGAACGACGTGAGAGAAAAATGGACTGATAAGAGAAAGAGAGAGAGAGAGGGGGGGAGGAGAGAGAGAGAGAGAGGAGAGAGAGAGAGAATAACGCGCGAGCGCGCGCGCGCGCGCTCGCTCGACGATGACATCGCGATCTTCGTGGAGACTTCGGAATTGTACATTAGAAGTAGGCATGTGTTATTCGAAAAAAAAAAAATAAAAGTGTACCATGTAACCCATACAAACCAAGTCAAGTGCTTTCTTAATCTCCGTGCCTTCTTAATATTGCATAATTTATTGTCGCACGAATGGACGGACCAACGAACGTTGCGTTACGTATTTACGACGCGCGGCTGACGTGATCGGCGTGCGAGACGTAGAAAGATCTTCAACTCGCGAAAAAATCGTCATCCTCGCGACGTGTCGGCAATATCAGGGAATAACCAGATCCACCCTTGTGTTGTTACCCTTAAGATTAACGTATGCTTAACGTCGCGTCGCGTAACGTCACTCAAACGACGGGGATTCGTCGCGCCGCCTTAGATATGCGTAACCACCAGCGGTTTCCCAGACGTTGAAAGCGGGATATCGTTTGTCGTGCGTACTCGATTATCCACGTGGAGCTATTATTATTTATCTATTTATCGGTATTGTATACTCTTATCTCTTATTTCTAACGGTCGACGAGAGCTGCGACGAACCGAGACAGAGGGAGAGAATGAGAATGAGAGTAAGAGAGAGAGAGAGAGAGAGAGAGGGATACACACACTCTGTCTCTCGTAGCGTCACGTCGCGTCGCAGCCTCCTAATCGTCGTCCCGCTTCTCTTTCTCTTACGAATAGCGCGTAATAATCGAATGTATTTATTTCACAGCAACACGAGAGCCGTATGCACATGTATCGTTTTTCCTTTTCTTTTCTCTACACAGAGAGAGAAAGAGAGAGAGAGAGAGAGAATGAGAGTGAGAGAACCTTACGCAGTCGTTTTGGTGTGAGTAAAATTAAGTTGTTTGTAACACACACGCATCGTATTCGTCATAAATAGCCTTTTTGTACTCTGGCAATGATTAATAAAATTTTGTAAGCAAAAATCGTCTCATATATATGTGTGCGAATCTCGCTCCTTCTCAAGGTGAGTCGTCGAGGAACGAGGGGACATCCTGTGGTGAGATCTCGATGGGATGTTCGGTGATGACCGGGTCTAAGAAGCGATTATGTGATCTTTGTTATTGTCTTTGCATATTGGTTTTTTTATTATCAAAATATTTAGCGTATCAATGCGTGATTTGTTGGAAATCAAAAAAAAATATACGCAACAGTCGGCGTGCCACACACCGACACCCCGAATCTACAGGAACTTCAGAACGTGCGACTCGCTGTTTCTGCTCTTTCGCGAAATAAAACTGCTCAACACGACGGATCGTTAAATTAAATATATAAACACGAAGACACGTTTCTTAAATATACAGTACAATATTACAGAGAGAAATTCGCGAGCACCGGACGCACCGGATAGCAATCAGTTCGAATTCGATGATTGTACACAATGAATGAAAAAATTCCACTAACGTGAAATAAAATGTGAAATACATTATGATAAAAAAAAAAAGAAACAATCGACTTCGCATAGAAACAGAAATAATTACGACTCTTTACAGATATGCGTGGTACATGTTGAAACGATTCCTAAAATGGATGATTACGCGAATATTGTTAAATAAAACTTTTAAATAACATATAACGGCACTTAAATGCGACAATTTAAACGAAACCCATATTTTGCGAGACAGATTCAGATACGTGTGAACAAGTATGTTTATGTGATTGCATGTGTGTGTGTATGTGTGAACACAATGTCCGTTTCTGTACTGTGCTCCCAAATAAATTAACAAATCGCCTGAGAATATTTCGCGCAGATCCGGCGGCGAAGCGCGGTCGCTTTGCTGTCGGCGGTTCCTTCAAACGCGACTGAACGAGCATTTACGCAGCTTCATGAGGAGATCCCTCATCTCGGCGGCGGTGTTGGCTCTGCAGAGAGCGCTGAAGATGTGCTTCTGATTAGTCTCCTGCTCCATCCTCCTGGCTATCTCATGTGCTCTCTTTGTAATTACGGAGGGCACGCCCGCCAATCGAGCGGCATTGAACCCGTACGACTTCGGGCAAGCGCCTTCGCTGAGCTTGTACAAAAATGTCACCGTTTCCTGCGACACTTCCTCTTCCTCCTCGGTTTCTACCATACATGCCTGCGGATATAACGCGGATATAACACGTCACAGGGAACGACGACCTGACGAGCGAGTATATGCTGACTGATTTAAGGCTCTTGATCCTTCGTCGCAGTCGTCTCGTTTGATGACGTCGAAGCGAAGCGGAAAAAAAATGTACGCCCAAAATTCATGCACACAGAAAAAAGTGCTGAACTCAAGTAAGTAATTACTTGAATACCCCAATATTCCTTAACAAATTTTTACTTGATCCAAATAAATTATTTCCTAAGTAAATTATCCGAGTAAAATATTTACTTGATCCAAGTAAAATTTTTAGTCCAAGTAAAAATTCTCACCACGTATTGGAGTAATTGAATCTAGCAATTTTTTTCTATGTATATCAATATTGATAGTCAATTTTTGTCACTGGAGGACGGAATCTACGATCGGAACGTTTGGACTTCGACTTTTTAAGTCCGATAATTTTTAATCTCGCAACTATATTTACTAGCCAGTCGACTCTTATTGGCCCCTTTTAATTAAGGTTTGCGAAATATGTTGGAACAAAAGGGTATATCCATGAAATGACGCGATCGATTGGGCACTTTTGCAAGATATCTTGAAAACTTGCCTTTTGCTCGAATAATCAACAAATAATCGTAAAATCAATATGACATGCTACTTTCCCTTCTAGCCCATTTTTCTCATGATTTCACCCGTTTCTATCCGATCCCGTTTCACCGATTCCATCATGATTTAACGGAATTGAGCCAATTGCATTAGCCAATTAGCTTAACTGATCAATTATAATTGGTCAATTCCGTTGAGTTAATCGATTATATTTAAATCATAATGGTATAGAAACGGGCATTCTTCACGTTAATTAGACTGTTATTAATTATTAAAAGTAAAAGAGGAAAGTTTTCGGAATATTTTACAAATGTACCGATTAAGATTGCCGCTTTATGAAAATATCCTTTCATTTTAACTGTAATTCCGTAAGAATTTTGGATTATATATTTTCTCTCTTCTGACATCGTTAAGCAGAATGGCTGCGGCGAGGAAAGAGTCTTAAAGAAGCGGCATGTCGCCGAGAAAATGTGAGCAACGTATCGCAAAATTCTCACCATATGGGCCAACGTAACCTCCTTGTTGGTCTTGTAATCCTCGACCAGGGAGTGATAATGCGTCGAGAATAATGTGCGACACTTCAGCTTGGTCAATGCGTCGACCACCGAAGCCGCTATCGCTGTACCGTCGTAAGTAGATGTGCCGCGTCCTGCGACAAAAACGGAATGCTTTCCGTCAGTCGACACGAGCCGCGAGGTGTACCGAACGATATTCGATGATTACCAAACGATCATTCTTACCCAACTCGTCCAGAAGAACCAGCGAATAGGGCGTAGCGTGTTGCAGTATCGTCGCGGTTTCGCTCAATTCCACCAAGAACGTGCTCTGACCGGCCAGGATGTCGTCGTTCGCCCCCAGTCTCGTGAAGATACGGTCCACCAGAGTCACGCGGCACGAGCTGGCCGGAACGTAGCTACCCTGATTGTTGAACGCGACGGTGAATGATAACAATTAATAACGGTGAGTGGAAACTATAATATACATGATAGATGATGTCGTGGACGGACAGACGGAAAATAAGAAGAAAAAAGGAAAAAAGTATAGAAATAATAAATAAGTGAATAAAAATAAAATAAGTAATATATATAAGAATACAATATGTGGTATAGATAATGTAAAATAGTGGAGCCTACTTAGATAAAATGAGGTAATAAAAGGAAAGAGCGTAGAAATGACATAAATAAAACAAATAAAAGAAGTAATATAAATAATAAAAATACAATGATATAGATAATATAAAATAGCAGAACTTACCTAGATAAGAGGAAAGGATAAAAGGAAAGAATGTAGAAGTGATAAATAAATAAATAAATAAATAAGTAAGTAAAGTTACATATTATATTAAAATTATAATAAACAATAAGTAATAAATAAATGAAATAAATAAAATAGAATATAAGATAAATAGTACAGATAATAAAGATACATTAGTATAGATAACGTAAAATAGGAGGCGAACTTACCAGTTGCGCCATGATTGTGATGAGGCCCACTTGGCGCATGAGGGTAGACTTGCCTCCCATGTTCGGCCCCGTTAGGATCATGAAAGAGGCTGCGTCACCGGTGGCCAGTAGGGTGTCGTTGGGTATGAAGTTATCGGAGGTGATGCAGGGATGCTTTCCTTCTCTGATCTCGACGAAGATCTGCAAGACATTCCTCTCCTGTAACCTCTCACGTTACTTGGGGCAAAAACGCGCTAGGCATTAATCGATGGTGAACATCTGCCATCGCGCGCAACGATACCGTTACCTCGCCGTCCGATCCTTCGTGTATCTCTGGAACGCACATATCGCCGTTCCGAGCGTAATCCGCGAGCGAGATGAGCACGTCCATGGTGGCCAATTTGTGCACGGCCATATGCCACGTGTCGTAGCTCTCGCTGAACTGCGCGAATATGCGCCTGTTGAGATCCTTCAGCACTTTATCCCGGTGCTCTTCCGCGTTCATTTGCTGCGCCAAGAGCTCCTGCGACGAGAGAGGAAGATGGAGAGGACGTGACTTTCTTTCGTTTGATATGTCCGAGTTATTATAGTAAAGTTATAGGAAAATTGTGAAGTTTGATGTAAGAATATGGCATTGGGGGAAATACTTTCTCGGTATACACTCGGTTGATTTAATCGGTTTTTAAATCTAGGTATTCCTGCTAATAGGAATCAGATGAAAACTCGGACTAACAGAATATGATGTCTCCGTTATAGCGACTGAGAACGAATTCGTGCGAATTCTCGGCTGCGTTAGAACAATCGGCCAAGACGATCAAGAGCAATCGACCGAGTGGAAACCTCCCACGAGGATCTTCCTGTTTCTACAACCGAGTTTTCGTTTGGTCCCCAGTGCCTGTACGCTGTAACTATTAATGACAGTTGTCGTTACGTCGTCGTTTCGCAGATATGATATATGGCAGAAAAATTGCGCGACGATAGGCTAGTCACATTGTCGTTAAGAAGTTACAGAATCGGGCTACAGTGCTTATTAGTCCCGGTCTACAATTGATGTTTTAGCCTTAAGAAATTGACCAATCACAGTTGATTATTCTCTTCACATTCGACTGTGATTGATTAATTTCTTGAGGCTTAAAGCTTAAAACACCTGTTATGTTTTATATTAGATCGGGACTTGCGTCATCGTTATATCTTGTTTATAATTTTATTTTAAGACAAATAGTAAGTAAATTGACCGATCATGATCGATTATTCTTCTAATAAACGACTGTAATTGGTCAATTTGACTACTGTTTACGTCTTAAAACAAAATTGTGGGCAAGGGGTTAAGAGAGGTCTACAATGAAAATTTAAACTCTAAGCCTTAAAAAATAGACCAATCACCGTCGAATACGGGGAGAATAATCAAGTGTGATTGGTCGATTTCTTAAGATTTAGAGCTTAAAGCACCTATTGTAGACCGGAACTTACGTAGTTTTTCTACTGTATATTAAATTCGCAACGACAAAGTAGCTATAACGGTATCGTCGTTAAAAGTTACAGAATAGCCAGGCAGCGGAAAATTCAGTTGCACCAACGAATTTGTTTCTCCAGAGTATAATCGGACATATTATCGCACCCACCTTCGCCTCGGCAGTATAATAGCGTTTGAAGCCTTTTCGTTGCGACTGCAGTTCGTATCCCGGCCCGACTTTCTTAACTTGCGACTCGGGCACCTCGATCTGATAGCGCTTCCGGTCCGTTCCGTAGAACGTTATCTTCACGCCGAAGTGACGCCTCTGCTTCTGCAGATATTGGTCCAGATTCTCCTTGTTTTCTGCAAGTTCGGTCAAAACCGAATCGTATTCGGTATCCACTCCTTTCTTGGGAACGATGCAGCCTTGCTTCTTGGCTTCCTCGTGATCGAACGCCGTCTAAAGTCGCGATGCCACGAATGCGTTAAAAAAAAAAAAAGGATACATGCAAAAGAAGAAATTATCGACAGGATGCAAGCACTAACCTTAAAGTAATCCAAGGTTTCCCTCAGACGCGGAAATTCACCGTCCGGCTCGTATCGAGTGCAGCGAGTTACCAGATTACTTTTGAAGCCTGAAAAGAGAGCGTAATTATTTTACGCACCGTACTTTTGCCACGTTCTTTTATATTTTACTGTTACAAAACGATACTGTCTGATACGAAAATAAGATAGGCGTACCGTCGAACTGTTCGATGAATTTCAGAACGTCTTCGAACCCGGCGAGGATCTTGGTGAAGTCTATGATTACTCTCTTCGAGTACGTCGGGCCCTCGAACATGATGGCTCTGCCATCGGGATGATTTCTCATTCTGGGATTGCCCTGGGCGTGTATTCTGTCGCGAAACAGGAAGCACGTCGGTGTCTTATTCGAATTTTCGGGAATAAAGCTCTACGTCTATTTTCTATTCCCGAACTAGGTTGCACTTTTTTTACCGTTAGACAAGTATATAACTTAGCGTTGAAGGGGGAGGAAAAGGAACAAAGTTCCGGTGCAGCCTGAGTTCAGGAACGGAAAACAGATCTGTCTCTGCTTGCTCAACTTACTTGCTTAACAATCTTTCGAGGTCCGGCAAAGGAGTCAAGATAGCGCGTGCGGATTGCGTCACGTCAATTCGATCCACCAATTCTTGAACGGCTTGTTGGCGCTCCAATATGACGGCTTTGCGGCAAGATGGCCGGCAGATCCATTCGCGCAGCAATCTAGAGAGGAAATGAAGGTCTCTTGTTGATGAATTGCGAATAACAATAAGAGATAAGTCAGAAATGAACACACGCAACGCTCGAAATTTACCTCTTGCCAAACGCGGTGCAGCAACGGTCCAGCACGCTGTTGAGCGAACCCTCCCCGAAGATCCTTAAGTTTTTGATCGTAACGGCATCTATCACCATGGTGTTTGCGTAATTGAGTCCCGTGCGATTGCTCGCGGCTGAGAAATCCGGCGGGCAGTAAGTGTTGAAGCAACCTTGCGCCAATAGTCGCTGCTCCAGCAGATACTCTTTCAGTAGGTACACGCATCCTCCCAATGCGTGCACCGCTAATTCCTTGCTGTCGGCTGGCGTTAGACCCAAACTGTCGCCTGGCACGTAATATGAATAATTCTTCAAATATGCTGCACAAAATACCCTGGTAGAAATTTCATGCATTTTTTTGAACGGTTATTCGACAGTTTGTTATTAATTTCTGTCTAGTAATTGAAAAATAAAATAACGGGATCCCAATCAGGATGTAACGCTTTTCCTGCAGTTACTGAGTACAAAAGATGCGCAAAAACTGAGCTGGTTTACTGCACGAAAACAGAACTATGGACGAAAACTATTCAATTGATTAATAAGCAAGCCTGCTGCTCATGAAATGGGCAGTTTTGCTACCTAGTATCTCTGAATAAAAGTATCTCTCTACCAAATTCTCGTCTATTTTCTACGGAATATTTATTGTTACAACCAATGAGAATGCATCAATAGTAGACAGTGACTGGAGTGTTTAGAAAAACTGCGTACATTTCTACCAGAGTATGTAAAAAAAAAGCAGGGTTGCCGCAAGAAATGAATTTTGAGATTCCCTGACTTTCCCGTGTTTTCCAGACTACAGTGGAGAATTTTCTACGAACAATACGTAATTTGGAATTTTAACGTTTAAAAGCAGGGATTGCAGAAAAGGTAGCTTATATTATTAGAAGTAGCGCAAATTAAAAATTTAGTAACTTAAAAAATTTAATAATTTAAAAACTTAACTCTTTGCACTCGAGGGCTCCGGAGCGGAGCCATTGAAAATTTGTCTTCAAACTCTTCAAACTCAAATGCAAATAGCAAGAGCGGAATATCCTATACACAATAGTTTTTACGATTTGTCTTTGTCCTTATGTTATGAACTGAAAGTTATTTGCATTGTCTCCATAGCGGAGCCCTCGAGTTTGAAGACAAATTTTAAATGGCTCCGCTCTGGAGCCCTCGAGTGCAAAGGGTTAATATAATCCTGAATGCAAATTCAAATCAATGAAAACAAAATGAGTATTGGAAGGAAGAATAGAACTGAGAACATTTAAGGGAATTGTAAGCAAAATTCAAAATTCCAGGTTATCTTTCCTTGACTTTTCCCGGTTTTTCAAATCAGGTTAGCCTGTGGCAACCCTGAGAAAGGGTTCGATAAAATACCTTCGTTGAGATACGGCTTTAAGCCGTGCGGCCATTCAAAGCTGGAATCATTCTCTTTCTTGAAATAGTCCTCTTCGTGAAGTTTCTTTAAAGAAAGAGGTACTTAACGTGCATACACGAAGTCTGGACGAATAGATTTTTTATGTAATCATCGGGTATTACTTATTATTTCGCTGTCTGTTATCTATACTCACTTTCAAGATGGTTGTGGCGGACCAAAATTGTACTTCGCGCTGCAACGGTTCCTTCAACGCCGCTGGTAAGGTACTGTTGATTATCTGCAGGGTCTTGGGCGATAGATTACCACGCTCGTATGTCACCTGGAATGTGAGAATAGTCAGTAACGAGTTAAGCGGTAATTTAGCTACAGCAAATACGCTGATTTAGCTCGTACATGAACCGGCGGGTGGTGAGCCAGCAGGGTCAACAGCCTGGAGTTGCTACGGTCGTCGTCGAACTGGGCGAGGTAGAACTCGCCTATCGTCGTGTCGATGAAGCACACGCCGAAGGAGCTGGTCGTCGAGTCGAAATTTAATTTCTCCACCAAGGCCAACAGATAGTTGGAATTCGGCGTGGACGCTTCCACGTCCAATGGTGTGTACACTCTCGTGCCTCTGGTGCTGACCTGACAGATCTCTCGCTTCACCACCTTGTCGAACTTCGTCGGCTTGCTCACTGTGATCGACAAACGATTGACACACTGATTGCACGTACGCATAAAGAAAAATCGTAATTTATGCGCGGGACAGAATGGAAATACGCTTCTTACTTTTGCTGCAACGCGCCGTCATCATCTCCGGGTTCTCCGTCTGCTCGACTCGCGCGACCTTGTACCCTCTTTCAATGAGACTCGCCGAGTAGCGACCGTACCCGATCTCGGGGAATCCAGAGTGCGCAAATTCACCCTTTAATGATGATTAAATGATTGTCTCGGAGGTAGCTAATATATTCTGAATACACATATACATTGTGACCAGTGTTTTTTGTTGTTTCTTTAAGTTAGCGGAAAAGCGGAGACCGGGCGCGCGGTAGCGGTGAGCCCCGCGCCCCTGGAGAATGTAAACCCCCGCTCCGAATGGCGGCGAGAAGAGAGCAGAGCGTCGACCGCCGGGTGGAGGACCTAGGCCACCCAAGGCTCCCACCGGACCCTATGGCCTCGCCGCTCTCTGATCTGTGCCGACCGACGAGGAGCCGCTACCGACACCGCCGGGGTTATCGTTCCGAGCCCTCGGCGACGGTAAGGCCGGCGGGCCGAGGTCGCGCTCAAGGACCGGGAGCCCGGAGCCGCGGTACCGCGCCGGGATAGGCCGGCGGTGAAGCGGCGGGCTAAGAGGCGACTCGGGAGCCACCGGCAAAGATCCAACTGCCGAGGAGGGGATAAGGAAACAATAAAGGAAGGGGAAGACTGCTGTTTAAAAATGAGCAGTCTCCCCGAGGAAGTTAAGTGAGTTCCGAGAGTTTTGTGGTTGAGCCCGGAGTTCCGAGGAAATCCGCAATTATCGACGGCGACAGAGAGAGAGATCGGAGCGATAGGCAGCAGAGGCGCGGGCGGAGGAGCGAGAGAGAGAGAGAGCGAGGGAAGTCTAGGACGAGGATCGTCGAGGACCAGCCGCCCGGGAGTGGAGGTCCGGATATCGTTCGCGTCCCGAGGTTCGCGCCCGTCGGTGTTGCACCGGCGACTCGGAGAAGCCGAGTCGCGAATTACGGTCGCAACATGTGTAATCTTTATCTTGCGAGAAAAGGCAAGCACTGTTCAGTTTTCAGTTATGGAAGTTTAAAAACTTGCGAACACGCCGAAATCTTGAAGAATTCTCAGTTTGATTCCTAAATTGAGTTTTTCAATTGAAATATAATAATTAATATAATCGAGTGTAATTAAAGGAATATGGTGTATGTTATAAAACTTTCCACAAATTCTGAGACTTCCGCAGCTGAGATCTCAATACATACTGATTCTTACTATTTGCAAGGTACAAATCTAGACTTACTCGCATATACGTGAGGCTAAGCTCGTTAACACTGATAACTGCATCCATGTGATACAGCTCGTAGAATTTGCCCACTTTGAAGAAGAGCACACAGTCGAAATGCTTGCTCTTCAATTCCCACCACTGCCTCATTGCCTGAATAAACATCAGAATAGTTAGCTATCAATATTAATGTACAACTAAAGCAATGCTCGATAACAGAGTACACTTACAGGAGTTTGATTGAGTAAGAAGTCCTGGGGCACGTAGACAGTCTTAGGATCGTAATCCGGATCTTTCGGCGTTCTCCTTTGCGCATCTCTTATTTTCTCTGGCTGTAGAAACTCAACTTTCAAGTGTGGCCAAGTAGGGACAGCGGTAGATCCATTGTTGACAGCTTGACTTGGGGTCTGTGCAACCTGCTTTGGTTCTTTCTTTGTCTTTGATGGCTGATGTTAAAAAAAAAATGAAAATAAAGAGGCAGAAAGGTAAAAAAAAAAATTTTTTATGTAATTAATCTTGTAATTAATTAAATATGAGCTTACTGTTTTTATATTGTATTTCGAACAACTAGGTCGTTCTGGCTTGGACTTGGCGGTACTGGATATTTTCCTTTTTTTCTGAAATATAATATTTATATTGGATATAACTTTCCTTGGATTAAAGTAATACTAACGTTGTAAATGGAAGACCACAATATTTAAAGTAACAATCATAATTAAAATGTATATATTTATTTTTACTTGTTTAGTTTAGAATATAATTGGAAATATTTCGTCCTCACCTCTGGAGTTTCTTCCTCCGTCTCTGTGTCAGGTTCATGCTCTGTATCTCCTTCAGAAACTGATTCAGATTCTTCGGATTCAGAATCTAGAATGTATAATATCACATTGTGTTTTTAACAATTTAATTTTATTTATTTAATTTAAGGAGCTCACGATAACTCATAACTATTAAGATCCATATAATTTACAAACCTGGCTTGAAATCATCTCCAGAATCCTCGCCAGAATCATCATCAGGAATAATAAGGCGCCTCCTTTTAGGCTTTATGGATTTATCCTCTTCATCATCCTGATCTTCCTTATACGATCTCTTTCTCTCATCAGTATTCTGATTTTCTTTCCCTCTACCATTCTTGAAACGTTCTGTGTGAAACATTTACATATAATAACTACGAGATCAAGAACATTAATAATAGTAATTACATACTTCAGGATACACAATTACAACTTTTGGAAATCATATTTTTACAATTTTCACATGTCAGGAGTGAAGTGTTGAGGATAAAGAATTGTCCGAAAACCCTGAGGGACTACAGTCGCGCACGATTGGACAAAATTACATAAATCGTCATTGCGTGTGCTGGTTATCGCTGAATAAGAACATCACGTACGAGGCAACGATTCATTCTATCTCGATACGTATTGTTCGGCGCACGCTCCCGCCCAAATTCACCTGTAAACACACCTTTGTTCTTTTGTTGTCTCTTGGGGGTCTGCGAGTTTTCTCTCTCCTCCGTCTTCGGCTCCGGTTTCTTGACAGCTTTCGGAGACGAGAAATAATTAAGTATCGTGTTCACTTTCGGCATGTTTCAATCTAACACGACCGAACGAAAAGAACTTCGGAAGAAATTATCCGCCGAAATCGCGGGCAGAATGCGAACACGCGTTACACAGCAACGACGCACCCGAGCGGATTGAATGCCCGGCAAAAATTGTGCTCTCCCCTCGCAGTTCTCTGAAACGCATCGCGATTCGCCCACTCGCAGTGTCGGCAGATTCGAGCCGTGTCCCTAAGTGTCGGTCCACAATAGGTAATTTAAGCCTTAAGAAATTGGCAAATCACAGTCGAATATGAAAAGCATCGGCCGCGTTTTAGCAGAACGTTTAGTTTGCAACTGTTGGGAGTTTCCTATGCTGACATTGGATTATTCCTGTAGATCTAAAAGAATAATTCAACCTCAGCCGTTATATCATTCGTTAGTTCGAAAGTCTCCGCTACGAACCGCTACCGTTCCAACCGACAAATCGGGAAAGTAGTACGACTCAACGATTGAACACACGGGCGTTATTTTTCGCTAACCGAACGGCAGATCGGAGATAACTTCTTCCCTGTTTACGGGGAGATGCAAGTCCTTCCAACCTGACGACGAATTACAATAAGAATTGTATTTGAAGGCGAGAGCAAGTTGGTCGGTCTTTCAGCGAAGCATCGATTGATCGATCGAACGTCACTCGTCCCTAGGGACAAAGGAGCGGGTGCGCGCGAGTTCGTGGAATGTTGCGTGTCTCAGCGGCAGTTGCGTGTGAGCTGTTTAAAAATAGCGTTCGTCGTGCCACCACGATGTGATAACGCGAGGTGGACGATTTCACCGATCCGGCGATAGATCCCAGCTCGACCTGACGTAAAATGATCTAACGCTGAATCGAACGAGCGTGATCCACACGTCGAGCAACTTCTTCGGACGGTCCCTGCGGAGTTATTCTTGCGAGCGATTCTCGGACTCTGCAGCGATGCAGCGGTACGATCTACTGATCCAGGAGATCGAGGGCATCGACGATTACCTGGGCCCGACCTTTCGGTAGGTAAACTTGGACGGAATTCAAGATGAGAGAAAGAGAGAGAGAGAGAGGATCGAAGTACGCGCCCCCGCGGAATCGCACCCCCTGAGCACGCAGGACGAGCTCGAGAGCGCGTATGCGCACTCGACCGGGGGTGGCCGAGGGGTGGCGATAGGAGTGGCGACGGGCGTGCACGCGTAATTCGTAATTCGAGCGGATTCTCGACAGGGTCGTAACATGTCGAGGGTGTCAATTAACCAGCATCTACTGTCTATGGTGCCGAAGCATGAGTATCTATTGTTCGAAATCGAATCAACTGATGCCAACAGCATAGGTCTAGTTTTCAGGTACCATCACTGGTGGCAGGTTATTTTTTTTTTGCCATGTTTTCAGGCGAACGGTAATAGAACCAAGTAATACATGCTGCCTTCATCGTGTCTGCTTTCTGCTCACAGAGCGATTTACGATGGCCACGAGCATCAGAAGTTCATGGAGAAGCTCGACGATCGCATCAAGGCTCATGACAGAGATATCGAGAGGATGTGCAACCACCACTACCAGGGATTTATCGATTCCATCCGGGAGCTGTTACAAGTTCGCTCTCAAGCTCAGCAACTTAATGTTAGTTCATTCATACGTTACGCTCGTGTGTACTCAGAAACCAGCCCCAATCATACTTGATGTTCTGTGATGCGAGGGAATTTTATGTGATATATCCGAATGTTGCACACAGAGGAAAGATGCAGGAATAATATCTGATTCAATTCTGCAATAATATATATAGGCGGATATATTGGAGCTTGACAAACGCATCACCACTACGTCCACCAAAGTCATCGACAAGGGTGAAGAACTGGTTAAGGCCCGCAAGGTGGAGAGTAACATGGCTGCTGCTGTAGACAGTCTCACTATGTGCCTTCCTGTCTTAGCCGCCTATGCGAAGTTACAGAAGCAATTGAAGGATAAGCGTTATTATCCGGCGCTGAAAACACTGGAGCAATTGGAGCATCACGATCTGCCGAAAGTCACGAATTACAGGTTTTCCTCTCAAATCACTCAACAAATTCCGCAGTGAGTTCGATGAGATCCTTTTTATATTATGTTTTATGCACTCGTTTGGGTAAGAAAATGCTAAAAAAGATGGCTTCCTTGTTTCAGATTGCGAGAGAATATAAAGGATGCGTCTATGTCCGACCTGCGGGATTTTCTAGAAAACACCAGAAAGTATTCGCCAAAGATTGGGGAAGTTGCAATGAGGCATGTGAGTGTAATTCTTATTTTACCGAACCCTTCGTGCGCCAGCGGGAAACGTACCTTCCGCCTTTTTCTTTCTTATTTTTACGATGTACTGCTTGCAGTTTAATAAAACCAAGTATAATTTCACATTTTTCTGATATATTAATACTTTACATGGTTTCCCGTGGTCTTTATCCGATTGTTCATTTCTAATTATTTATGAAGAAATAAAATTTAAAAAAAAGAGCGATTTTTACAAAAACTGTGGTTTCTTGGAAAGTATTTAAGATAAGAGGCTGAAAATTTTACTGAATATTCTTCATACGTCAAGATATAATATATATTTTTTCCAGAATTTCTCGCACGCTAGATTTCTTTATAAAAAATTGTCTACTGTATGAAGATAAAAATTGTACTGTTACAGATTTTTTGCATTTTTGCCATGAAGGGTCGTTCTTCGGTAAATAAGGTAGTGAATACGAATATGACTTCAAAAATTGTTTGTCATGTAAGGTTTTCGAGAAAGAAGGGGTTGAAAAACCCCCAAAAACGCGTTTCTGGCTATTTTCATGAATTCGCATGAACCAGATGTCCCAGCAACTTTGGGAAGGTCTGGCATTGAAGCTTGAATTTTTATTTTTCTGTTGTCGAAAACTGAAAGTGCAATTTCATGAAAGCTACTCTTACATTAATTTACCCCTATGTAGCAGCCACATTGGATATGCCATATATTTTGAATGTTTTAAGTCTGACCTCAGATTTTTAATCAGCAACGCAAAAAACATTGCAAGAATTACGAGATTTCTCGAGAAATCGGTCAGGTTGAAAAAATGTGCCACAGAAAGGGTTGAGAAACTTTCGTCTATATGTATTAATTTCAATCGAATAATTGTGTACTTTTTCGTACACAATCAGTTACACAGTTACACAGTGTGTAATATACTACATTATTATTTATATATATTTATATTTTATCAATTTTTAGTAAGATCGATACTTAAACCAGCTTCGATAAATTTACGTTCAGACCGCCGAACAGTTGGCTACCGAGGCGGAAATCATCGGGAGGAAGAAGAGGAGATCTCACACAAACAACCCGTCGTCGAACGAGGGTGAGGAGGAACTGAGCGCTCAGGATTTAATGGACTTCAGTCCGGTGTATCGATGCATGCATATCTACACCGTGCTACGCGAAGGAGACACTTTCAAGACTTACTACAGGCAACAAAGGAAGCAGCAAGCCAGGCTGGTTCTGCAGCCGCCCATTAATATGGTAAATTCGCCTTGTTGAGCATGATCCTGTTGACAATGTGCCGTTTGCATGCTATCGAGCAATGATCCAGCAAGATCATCGTATCACTAATGAGACATCTGGTCTATTTTCAGCATGAAACTATAGTCGGGTATCAGACTTATCTACATGGCATTATCGGTTTCTTCGTGGTGGAGGATCACATACTAAACACTGGTAACGGATTGGCCACACGCGCGTACTTGGACGAGCTTTGGTCAATGTCTTTGTCCACTATAGTCAACGCTTTACGGACGCATTCGGTAAATAATTGTAATATGCATCATTATGCACAAAGAAAAAGATTTCTTTGAATTTGATCAAATCTCTTTAATCGTAACAAATTTGCCTTTTGGAACGAAACGAACGAACGAACGTTTGATTTAACAAACACAGGATTCTTTGGTTTCTCAAATAATAAATATTTTCACGTTAAATATATTTCTTTTGTATTTTTCATCCAAACATTATTATGGTTGTTACGGACAGTAAATTGAAAGAAGTGGCACTATGTTAAACAAATGTTAAAGAACTTCTTGGTTTCAGTGGTGCAATATTTAATGTATAATGAAGTAAATTTTTTAATTGAAAAATAAATATTTCTTTCTAAATAATATTGCTTTTTCTCCATCAAACTACATAGTCTAGTGAAATATTTTCATTAAAAAAATGATATTTGATGATAAATGATGTTTGTATTACAGAATTCTGTGAAAAACATACCAAATTCAATGAAACCTTTTTCTCTGTGTGCTTTTGTTGCATTAGCGTATGCAGTAATTACTTTGAACAAAAAGAATCCTTTTCAGGCATATTGCACAGACGCCACGCTCATATTGAAAATTAAGAACCTCATTATGCTGTTCAATACTACCCTGAGGGTGAGTAAAGAAAATATGTGCGCGTTATGTTATTCATATATAGTTAATGGTGAGCTTACATGTTGGAAACTCGTGGAAAAAAAATGTTGCAACGTTTAATTTGTCAACTGTGGTCGTGTCTCTTATTTACATCTGTTTAATCTGTTATTGATACGGACGACATTAAACACTTTCTTTTTAACCATCAAGATTTTTTAAGTTCATTATGCCCATTATTACACTCACATGTAACTTAATACATTTTTTTTTTTGTAAATAGAATTATGGCTACTCCGTAGGACAACTTTGGGACTTGTTACAAGAGATTAGAGTGCATTACAACGAAGTGCTGATGCAACATTGGGTTCAAGTATTCAGGGACATTTTGGATGAAGACAGCTTCTTGCCAATTCAGGTAATTGTTATTCATTCTCATACAAAAGCCAGATACACACTTTCTCCTACTCTCCCCTCTTTCTTTGTATTAATATTCGATTGTCGCGGTTATTCAGGTTACAACGCAGGCCGAATATGACGACGTTCGTAACCTATTTCCTTATCACGATGAAGAATTGCAGAAAGCCGAGTTTCCTAAAAAGTTCCCGTTCTCGGATATGGTTCCCAAGGTTTACCAACAAGTGAAGGAATTTATTTACGCTTGTCTCAAGTTCTCGGAAGACTTGAATTTCACGCAAACAGAGATCGACGAGATGATATGCAAGTCGACGAATCTTTTACTAACGAGAACCTTCAGCGGATGTCTGTCGTCGTTGTTCCGGAAGCCGTCCTTGGCACTTTTGCAAGTGGTTCAAATCATAATCAACACTGGCTACCTCGAAAAATCTACAAAATACTTGGAAGAATTTCTTACTAATATTACTGGGTATTTTGCGTTCCTTTTTTTTTTATATATAAATATTACACACACATGAAATTACATATATAATAATAATATATATAATAATATATAATACAACTTAAAATATGAAAATTTTACCTCAGCACACCGCACAAGGGACAATTGAGTTGCGTGGGAGTGGAATCCGCCATGTTTCGAGTCGCGCGGGACGACGCCGAGAAGCAAATATGCGACAAGCTGAAGAACAAGCTGGACGAGTTCTTAGAATTGGAGAATTACGACTGGAATCTGGCAGAGCCTCAAGGACATGCCTCAGGGTTCATCACAGATCTGATAGCGTTCCTGCAGAGCACCTTCACCTGTTTCACCAATCTACCGGTAAAATGGTGCAACACGACACGGAAGCGTCCGTGTAAACTATTGTAATTATAATAATTGGCAATTGATAATATTTCAGGACGAGGTGGCTCAAGTAGCGTGCAAGTCTGCATGTTCTCACATCGCTAAGGCCATATTAGGAATATTGATTAGCGAGGATGTGAAGCAGATATCTATGGGCGCGTTGCAGCAGGTCAATTTGGACACTATACAGTGTGAACGTAAGTTCTTTCGCGTCCTTTTCGTGGCACGATGCTTTGAGAATAAGAGGAAATTGAGATCACCATTGCACTGTCCAGAATTCGCCGCTTCCGAGCCGGTCACCGGTCTGCCGGAAGGGACGTTATTGCAATACTTCTCGCAATTGAGACAATTGTTGGACTTATTCATGAGCTGGGATTGGCCCACTTACTTCCACGATTATGGTCATGATTCCAGTAAATATAATCTAGTGACCCCGAACATGGCTGTGCTTCTGTTGGAAAAGTATGTATTATGTGTTACTTTCGTGCTGCGTCACTCATTTGTGCATTTCAATAATGTTTATATTTTCGGCTTAGACTGAAAGAGTCCGATAAGAAAACTGTGTTTTCTGTACTGAAGAAAAGTGAGAGGGACAAAAAGAAACTGCTCGAAACTGTGTTGAAGCAGCTGCGCCAGCTGGCACAGACGACTCAGCAATAGTCGAAGTTGTGGGAATTAATAATGATGTAATTATGTAAATATATAATTTTTGTACATGAGTATTATAAAAGAAATTGAGTCTTCACGCGCGTGGCATATATTTATTACAAGATATTTTATATGTTATCGTGATATATGTGATATATTTCGCAATATAATAATATATTAATATAATATATTAATATACAGAGTGTTTCCGAAAAGCTGGCTATAGTAATCATGTAGGATACATCAATGCAAACAAAAAAAATTCATATAAATCTACTTATAACAGACCTATGGTCTGTTTTCCTCTTACACGCATATACCTGTGCCGATTATATACAAGCATATGTATAAATATAATGCCCAAAACACTCAGTTCGCGTGTCTACGGAGAATACAAGATGGTTGTCAAAAGATACGAACTAGGAATATATTTAACGAACGCATACAAGAGTCCATAATTCGAAGAGTTCAGCATTGTAATTACATATTACATATAGCCAGCCTATTTTTCGGATAAAGAGACAGCGACCTCCTGTATAATATTAATATATATATATTACATATTGTGCATATATTATGAAATATATATTTTATATGTTGAAGAATACTTCGTATATTTATTGCTTTTTTTACACAGATCTTATGTTTCATATATTTAAAAGTGTACATATAACTTTGTGATGTACAAGGTGTTTTTTATTCGTTGATTTTAATGTCAATTTTCGATATAATACTCATACCCACGGCAATTAGCCTAGGAAATTGGAATTAAAATACAAGCGCAATATTTGTGTTCCCATATACTTATTACTTTTAATTTCCTTCTATATATTGGCATTGTTATATTACATGTAATCGAGTCACGTATCGTACAATTACTGTGTACAGCAGATTAAGTAGGATGTATAAAGTCCCAATTTTCCTAGATCCTAGAAGGTTCACGCCTTTCAGAATCAAGTACAAAAGGATCAGTATAATCGTTCGCTCTGTAGTTGTGTAGGTTTCTGCGACGTTGCAACTTGACAATTCGTTCCGGGAAACCATAAAGTAAATATATAGGTAGATGGAGAGTTATATTGAGAATATAATAAAATAGATTAAATACAAATCAACAATAATTCCAGTAAAGTAATACCAAGGGTGTTAACGCTTGGTTTCGTGTTGAATCCATGCAGTATTTAGTAAAGGGCAAAACGAATTATTAATAATATGCGTATATAGACCAATTCTGTTGCATGTGGCACAATTTATTCGGCAATGCAAATTATTAGAATTGTTAGGACTAATCATCGATATTGTCAGGGTCCACATCATCAGGTAGCATGGAATACTTGTTGGAAGCTACAAAATTCTGTAAAAGGAAGAAAACGACGCGATATTACGACTCTGTTCACATATCACATGGTTCGTGAACACTTTTCCCAATACAATTTAATCCCACTTTCCAATAGAAAAAAAAAAGTTGTTTTAAGTTTAAGTAATTCCCAGAAGTTCTTTCATTAAAAAAAAGAAGTGTTCAAGCCGTATTGAAACCAAAATTTGCGATTCGTTCGACGAATTTCGTGTAATAAATAATTTTACTCACTGGAGCTTGTTCATCCTTCGCTTTCGGCATTCTGTTAACTTCATCTTTTTCTTTATCTTTGCGATCCCTGTTAACAACGAAAAGAATATAGTTGTGCACAAATAGAGCAAACGAGAGCAAACCTCGCGAAGATGCTCATCGTAACGGTCGCCATGACTCTTTTGCGCTACTTCCGATGGTTTGGCACAAAAAAGTAGTAAACTAAATACATCGGTTTCAGACATGGAAACAATTTTCATTGAAAAAAATTTGGCATTACACTTTAGAGAAAGCGTTTGCCAGTTTGAATTTTTTGGAGATAGAATATTATATATAAATTTTTTACATCAATTGTTATTCTATGTCGTTTTGTTAAAAATAGTGTTAAGGAGGTAATTATTATAAAATGAATGCTTTAGATCGTGACTACCTTTACAACAAACAATATGCAGATCTCCCTTCACTAATACCTTTCTGGAGCACGAGCATCTTTTTCACTAAGCTTCTGAGGTCCTTTGACGACTGCTGGTGGTGGTCCGGGACGCGAAGCTGGTGATGCTTTGGATTCATTTTGCTGTTCTATATTTTTCAAATATCACATATATTTATATTATATATTAGTATTTTTACAGATACAAAGTAAATAGAAACCAAACCTCAGATAAATCACGCAGAACACTCGAGTTTCGGCAGTCTGATATAATTGACGATCGATCTGTTCGATCGATTCGCAGTATCCGGCAACTCAAGTGTATGTACGGTCAGTCGGATAGTTGTAATACTTTTTTTTCTATGAGTTTCACAATTTATCTCCAATAGGAAAACGTATTTCCTAAGAATTATTTAAAAAACGAATCCTCTTCTTGGATGTGGGATACGTTCCGAAGCTTATAGAAAAAGTGTTGCAACCATACATACATACATACAATAAACTTCATCAATGTGCCAATCCCTACGCATAGTAATATCGAAAGTGCACAATTAAATTCGTCTTTTTTTAATATTTATGCATTGTGCATAATAAATATTTATGCATGACCAATTGCTTTGGAGAATAATCGCCAATTTGTCAAATTACCAACAGTCATGATGTATAAATAATGCTCCTCATTGGAAATTTTCGACGTCACTATGTCTAAGGAACAGGATAATATTAAATGGAGTCTTCTGTATAAACAGATCGGACATAAAAAAAGAACTGACATGAAAATAGCGAGTGCAGAGACTTTCGTTTGTTTCCTCTCCGCAATATATAATCAAACCCGACAATTGCAACTACTCAAATATTGCATCGGTTAAAAAAAGTTCAGCTCGACTTTATTGCGCCAAACGAAGACAAATTGCTGATCAACAAAGTAATCGCCACCGTTGTCTATGATTCTTCATCAGCGTTTCATCAGCATTGTTACCTGTATTGCACGCATGTTACGTCATCTGTTGAAAGCCGAACCGAACTTTTTCACCGACCTCGTATCTTCGATCGAAACAGATCCGAGCGATGAAAGATTCAACCTTGGAATGTATATTCGAATTGTTCGACCATATTTAGAAATCCGGAGTATCAATGGAAGTAGAGATTTCATATTCGGTTATCTGAGCAGATTAGTTTACCAGAACGTGTGGGAGCAAGTTGAGATCGTGGCGCCGATCTCTCGCTCCGAGTACTTCTGTCCTCCTCCGACCTCCAAGTCGGCCGGCCCCTCTCCTTCTCTTTTTCCTTATCGTCGCGTCCTTCCTGTATAATCAGAAATCATTACGCATTAATTTACGCGCTCTTCTCTAGCGTCAATGCGTAACAATTGAACACTCAATTTGAGACACTCACTCCATTGCGTCGGACCCAGGTGCCATCTCTGCTGGAGCGTTCCTTGCTGTCTCTGGAAATACATCAGGATTCATCGATCAATTATGAGTCAGCCGTCTGAGTTTCGCGAGAACGCAATCCTCCCGACGCGAAACGACGAAGTCAGAAGACACACGTGAGTTTATAAGGACAATGGGCAACAAATGACAAGCTGGAAGGCTTCCCGAACAACACGTGTATCTAAGGGATGTCTCAAAGATATTCTTTAGACGTCTAAATATATCTAAAAGATACCTTTACGACGTCTGAATGTTATCTGGGTTAGTGTCGGTCTACAATAGGTATTTTAAGCCTTAAGAAATTGACCAATCACAGTTGAATGTAAAGAGAACAATTAACTGTGATTGCTCAATTTTTTAAGGTTTAAGATACCTGTTATAGACCGACACTTATTATTGAAGGGCGGATATTCGGACACGCGTATACCGCCATAGATTAGAGGTAATAATCCATAAATAATCAGCAAATATTTCCGAACGCAGCCTCAGAAAACAGAGAGAATCGTACAAGCGCGCATCAGCGTTCTCACACGTACATTTCCTCCCGGGATCTTGACTCTGCGTAAGATTTGGCCAGACGCTCCTCGATCTCGCGTTCTCTGGCGGTCGTATCTACAGGTTTCGCCGCGCCGAAGATGTTGGTCGCGGGCGCGGCTGTCGAGGCTGGTTTATCCGAGCTCGCTGCTGCGGCTTTCGCCGATTTTGATTCCGTCGAACCTTGCGTACCCTCCTCCTCCTCCTCCGCCACTACGATCGGCTCCACTGGCTTTGTGCGTGGTTGAAGTTGCAATTTTGGTCTCGTTCGCGGCTCCGCTGTATGACCGAACAGATCACACATATTGCGTCATTCCACAACGGCATTATCGCCGGTCGTAAAATTCGCGATAAACGAGCGGTCCAGCGCAACGAACGAACGTGTGTTTGCGAACGTATTAAAACACGCGTTACGCAAATGATTGGAGTGATGTTCCTTATCATACCGCTGTGATAAAAAGTAAGTAGGTAGATGGATTGCGGCGGTATAGAACAACGTAAATGCCAGGCTTTTAACAAAAAGTGAGAGAACATGATTGCGAGATAAAAATGAGGAAAGTCGAAATTTTGAAGAAAGTATGAATGAACGTGGAGCGCTGATTTGGAAACACCAGGCGACGCTTACGTCTCGCGTCTGAACTCGATCGGTCCTGTCGGCGATCACGGTCCCAATCAGAAGAATCTCCATAATTACGACGCGGCCCGAAGCTGCTGCCTCCCTCTCTGTCTCTGTTGTCCCGGTCGCCGTAGCGATTCCACTCCCGGTCTCTGTCCCTGTCCCTGTCATCATCCCTGAAACCACCTCGGTCCCTGAACGTTGATCCCTTGTCGCTGCTGTCTCGCTCACGCCATGCACCGGGTTTATTATCGTAGTCGTATCCTGTTTGACAACGTCGAGTCTTATTATCATGACTCTCGAGGAAATTCTTGAGACACCGTAATCTCTCCACGGGTCTCTTCGGTATTAAACATTGAACAATTGAATTCAGAACAAAGCCAATGACGCGTGAATTTGAAATTATGATTAAATTTACACACCAACATTCGTAATCCGGCTTTCTCATAAGAAAAAAATTATCTTGCCGATGACTTCTAAAAGGTATTGAGATTTCTGCCGGTATTAATAGCTCAATCTTATATTTAAGATCGTCGGAAGTTCATCTCCAGGGGCCCTATAGTCAATGAAACGAGTCGTACAGCATCCGAATGCGAACTTCAGACGGTCTTGAATGTAAGATCCGTCTATGAATATCACACGTAAGGGTTATATTTAGGAAGAACGCGCGTACTCTCTCTATCGTCCCGTCGATCTCTGTTGTCGTATCGGCTGCGGTAGTTATCCCCGTCGAGTAAGTCCTCGCGCGGGCCGCTTCTCCAGTCGCCGGATGTACGTTCTGGGTCATCGTAATTGTCCCTACGATTGTCCCTACCCATCCTACCGCCGCGACGCTCGTCGTTACTGCTATTAGATACCTCGATTCTTACCCGTCGCGTCTTAATTGTCTGCAAGATAAAACGTACATGAACGCGTAGTCGTTTTCGACTACTTCAATTTTCAACGTTAGATATCGTATTCCTCACCGTATTCGTCATGGACAAAGCGTCAATTAAACTCTGCCGGTCCTCGAATTCGACGTATCCATATCCCCTACTTTTGTTTGCGTCTTTAGGCAAACGCATATTGGAAATCTGAGAAGATAGAACATTTTGTCGCAATGCTTGACTTTTACATCTTGCAGCGAATAAAAAAGAAAGTATATCAATTCCATGATTTCATTATCTCCCGAGATTATTATAGATTTTAGGACAAATTTTAGGATATGATGAATTTTATGGGATGCTCGCACATATTTCTCAAGAGTGCGGAGACTAACCTTCATGTTTTCAAAAAATTCTTCAAGATCAGGTTCATTGATATCATAGGGTAGATTACTAATGTAAGCCACAAAAGGTGCGTTTGTAGGGATATTTTCTTCATCGATCCCAGGACCTCGGGCAGCTCTGGGAGCTGTCGGAAGAATAACTGGATCCTTGTTACTCCTGGATGAAAACCCTTCTAAAACATCCAAAAATTCAAGTTAGATTTACGGAAAGGTGTTCATTTTTAGAAATAACACATACATATCTACTTCATATTTATTTTATATAACAATTCTATATATATTAATACTCCTATAGAATCAGAAACATCCAAAATACATCACAGAGATATCCTAAATATATTCTGATATTTATAGAATATTCTTATGACATATATGACATTTCTGTTATATGGATACAGATTTCTCACACATATAGAAGAACATATACATAGTACAGTTTTTTTCCTTTTGGACACATATCTTTCATTAATTGTCAACAAAAACAAAATAAATGTTTATATGTCCTATTTCAAGAATAATATTTCCACAAATTTATATAAAGTGTATATAAAAGTTTTAATCTCATTTTTGCAAGTTTCTGCTTTATTTCCGTGCCAAACGGCAAATTTTCGCACATCCAACACCTAATACATTCCAATTTAAATGTCTATTCCTAATATATACCGTGATATCCGAATCTGCAAAAAATTTCACCATTGCTTTGGATCACGCGAACGCGATCGATCACTCCCTCGATAATGATCCGAATTAACCAGCGCCAACAAATTCCACGGACTTACCGTGGTCGTCCTCGACATCGTCCGCCCAGCTGGACGACTTAAGCGGCACGTTAGGATTGCTTTTCCCATCGGCCAAGAACGCCCAAAGATCGACGGTCACCCCCTTCTTCTTCTTGCCTTTCTTACCTGCGAAGGAAGAAAGTCGTGAGGGCGGTTCGCTCGCTATCGGGGCATCGGCCACGCAGCTTGACGCAATCACGAAAGCATGGTGAGCACGTCGCGTGCGCTTTGGTTAGGTCAACCGTGTCTCGCGAGAACACGACGACGTCGACAACGTTCTCAGCGTCGTGTTCGCGGCCGAGAGAAATTCGCGCGTCGACGGTTCCGCCGGGCGAATGCGTACCTGAGGACATGATGAGGAGTACGATCGGAAATCCACAGGAATGCAAACCAGATCGTGCCTACGTGAGCCACACGACCGACCTCAGGATCCTTAAGGCACGAATTGTGCTTACGTCAGACGTAGACACGTCCGCCGCGCAATTTCGCTACCGCAGCGCCACGAATCACCGCGGCGGCGAACGTGCGAAGTAAACTTCAGCCGTGGGACCAATCGAGATTATATTTTAGGACCGGTTTCACAATCTCCGGTTAATCAAGGATGACTTTCACCAATTCCGGTTAAAAGCCCATTTATGGAGATCGTAAACCGTTAATTTATGCTAGAACTATGAGAAAACCAATCACTGTTGAGTGTGAGAAGAACGAACGATCGATTGTGATCGGTCATTTTCTAACGATATCAGCAGAGGTTTACGATTTTCAGTCTGCACAAATAGGTCTTAATGGTAGTTTTCGCCAACTCCGGTTAAATTAATCGACGGTTAATCGACACATTTAATCGCATTGGTCAATTCAGTTAATCGTCTATTAGATTTAAACCATAATGGTAGAAACGGGCCATCAGGCCCGGTTTTTCATTTTTTGGTTAACTTATGGTTTAGACTTAATCTGATAATAACGTAAAAGTTGTTTTTTTATTCATAGTTTACCTCATTAAATTTAGAAGTTACCAAAATCGTAATCAGGCTTAAATCTTAGGAATTGCGATATCTGCGATGTGATCCTGGAAAAATGCTCTTTGCTAAAAATTACAACGTTACAATTTAGTATTTAGAGCACAAAAACTGAGGACTTACTATGCTTATTGCGGGTCCGGACTAAAAGAAGATGGAAGCGACGGTGAATCGGCTGCGAGCGCAAGTAACTAGAATTTGAATCGTTTGTATTTTTACAAATGTTTCGATGTCGCAGCGCGATCTCCACGATCGTAGCGTCGCGATGACGCGATCGGAGGAACTTTCGCCTCGTAAATGATGTTGCAATTGAAGATGGAATACATATATACGTAAAAGAGTAACAATAGAATGGCCATATAAAATTACTTTAAATTCTTTCAATAACACAATTACAATTTTATCACTTGATATAGCAGAAAGACAAACATACTGAACCGCGTTCGAGAACGTTATTCTGGTACAAAAAGTACTTGGAAAATCATTCTACGCATAATCCGTAAATGATTTGAAGAACCACTTATGGTGAGAATTATACCTTAACGTTAACATCTTTATAATTTTGAGCGCTCGACAGGATAAGATCAGCTCGGAATGATGTACTCGAACGCAGTTCTAGTCTCTTTGGTCGCAAGCCTTTATTATCGCAGTCGAATAACAAAATCTGTACCAGCATAGGCTGGCAGATCTAGACCATATTGCACCTCTAACTTTTTCGGCACGAATCGTCCGCCTAAGTAATGAAATCTCCCCTCGAACTTGGAGGCGCACATCTTCGGTGCCGTCAAAGATATCAACATCTGAGGCTTTATACCACCTTCCTCCGGCGGGCCGCTCTCAACATCCCAGCCTGAAGGTATGTCTACGCTACAGACAGGCACAGTTGTGTTCCTCAGCATGTCAATGATACGAACAAACGGCTCTCTCACTGGTGGCTTGAAACTAAATCCGAGGAGAGCGTCTATTATGATCGTGTAATCCTGTAAGATCGTAGGGTTCGTCGCTTCGTCTACGCAACGATTCTCTAACACGGGAATGTCGTTCTCGACGCATTGATGCAACAGTCTTTCGTACAGTGTGTTGCTCGGCCTCTTCGGATAGTAAATATCCGGCGAGTATCCGAAATGCTTGAGGTGTCTCGCACAGACGAGACCGTCGCCGCCGTTGTTCCCGGGCCCGCAACACACCAGCACGCGGTTCGAGGAGTTCCCAGACAACGGATACGAGCTCGCGACCGCGACGGCGCAACTCTGGCCGGCCAGTTCCATTAGCTGATCGACGCTGAATCGATACTTCTCGAACAGATCTTTGTCGACATTAATAGCCTCCGACTGATTCAGATATCTCACCATCCTGTCGTGCTCTCGTCTCGTCGGCGGCACGAATGCTCCGCGTTTACTCGTCAAGGAATGAGCCTTCAGTCGTCCGACGCTCGGCAATCTGCGAATACACGATGCGAATCGCAGCATTTACCAGCGATTAAATTCAGGTTGGCGCATCGAAAGCCGCTCGATCGCGTACCTTACGTGTACTCGTGCGAACCAGTCCTCCTTGGACCGATAATGCAGAAGTAGAAGTACATACGAGGAGCAGAGATACAGTCAAAAGCATTGACGTGAAGAAACAAGAAATGTTATCCTCCCCCTATATTCTCTTTAGGCTCGTATCAGAGCGTGCGGTGGAGATTGTGAATCGTCGGGCGGAGAATAGAGTTTGACCAATCAACACGAAGCGAGCTAAAGGCTCATACTTGTCGATCTCCAATGTACGACGATATGATGTCCGCCCAACAGGAAAGTTTGTTTTTCATATATTTTCATGTATTTTAGTCGGCGATGTTACGAATGGGCTTGATTTTTTCGAATCAGTATGCCACGTGTTTTACTTTACGCTGCGAACATGACTCGGCGGTATCTCATATATCATTATCAATGTCGATGAGAGAATCTTGTATTTTTGGATTCTCATGAAATAATGTCGAGTCCAGCAGTGACTGGTATTGGCTCAATATTACTTAAATCTTTGCTAATTTTTTGCTTATCAATAATATCAATAAATCGGGGATAATTCTCAAATAATTAGCATGATATAGTATTTTCTGTGAGAGGTCACCATGCCCGAACACGGGCAACAGGACTGGGATAGGATAGCATTTTCTGAGAGGATTGAAAGATGCGTTACAGTTTCATTATTTTATAAAATAACGCCGGTCTTTTACTGTTTGTAGATTTCATTGTATAACCTCATTTTAGGGTGGCGTCCTATGTCGTGTATTTTCTGCGTAACGGCTCTCGTAGATCAACGCAATGCGCGACGCGATATGCGACAAGCTATGCGCGATATCCAATGTTCATGCAGCTCTTCTAGAAAAGCAGTGCGCTCATTGGATATCGCGCGTCGCATATGTACAAATAGTATCAGTGTTAAAATTTTTGTGTTAATTTTTACGTTAATTCTTAACATATTTACTTGGTGAATCAACACAAAAATTTGAATGGATCGTTCGGGACATGAGAATGTGTTAAGTGATTAAACACGAAATTTTTTATTGTGTACAATTTTTTTACAGAAGACTGATGTAACTCTTACAATATATTGGTTTTTGTTTCTCCAAGTTACATAGGTATGATTAAATCTGTCACTTGGACGGGATCATAGTGTACTCGTCAAATAGACTACATTATAGCAACCACAATTGTATATTACTTTGTTAAAATTTATTCACAGGATACTTTTCTTTTTAAGAAAATATCAGTGTCATTATTTAACGAACACATCTTGAACGTAAAAGTGTGATGATAAGTCTCTATGGATTCCAATTAAAAACCACTCAGTATTCGATAATATTTATTTCTCGTCTACATACATATAAATTCAGAATAATTGTCTGAAATAAATCTCAGAGACGTCTGAAAGACATTTTATTTGTTTTATTTGTTTTTGTCTTTTGTATGTCTCTAAGACATAATTCAAAAATTTGTGCCGTCTAGAAAGTAATAGTCAAATTATCAATTTAGTTCAAATTATCAATTTGCAAATTTATTAAGTGCAAATTATCAATTTGCACTTAAACTACACATTTAATAAATTCCACTGAAATACAAAGGAGGTTTTCTTCGCAAATTCTTTGCATTTTAACTTACTTTCATAATAATACGCCGTCGATTCACATTTCACCGTGAAATCCACGGATTTTGCCGACATAAACCCACCTGTCACTAGTCTTCGTGATACTGCCTGGCAAACCTTCGCTGCTTCGTCTTCCCATTGTTATCCTTTTAGGTTGCCATAACGATGCGTGGTCAGCAGCGTAGTGTTCGCGAAACTTCGCGGCACAACTTCAAGCATTTATTTCTTGCGCTGTTATAGCGCCGCCATGGCGGTTAAGTTTCGCGAACGAATTCGAACCGAACAGAGGAAGACGAAACTTGAATCCATCCGGTATCGGTGGATGAATTAGTCACAAAAGGCGAGAAATGGACGAATAGTGCACTCGCTTAAATATTTATGAGCCCGAGCTAGCGGCGGGCTGTGCGAAATTCGATCACTTGATCGGGAAACTTTAATAGTCTCGAAATTCGCGACTGAGGCGAAAGAAAAACATGTGACAAACGGACCGGTGTGTCTCTGAAATATTTATGAGACCTCGTACTTTACATTTCTGCGCACGACTCGCCAAAGTTTCGCCGTGGGCATGCGTAATTATCGTCTTCCCGAGAGAATGAGGGCAGATGTAAAAAAAAAGAAAAAAGGGAAGAAAAAAGGGATACGTTAGTCATCATGTAGTTTCGGACATGGACAGTTCTAAGGAAAATGAACATGCAGGTATGTGTGTATGTGTGTACGAGGGCAGTCCGATAAGTATTTAGCCTACAAAAGAAAAACGAAAATTTTGGAAAAGTGGCGATTTATTTCTCAACATAGTCTCCTTTTAGCTCGATACACTTGACCCAGCGATGCTCCAACTTCTTTAACCCATCTGAAAAATACGTTTTTTCGAAGTCTACAAAGTAGGCCTCCGTAGCGGCGATGACCTCCTCATTCAAAAATTGACATGTAAGGAAACAATTCCGTTGTTGTAATTGAATTTCCCGTTGCTCGGAGGCCAGACGAGAACTTTGTTAGTAGGTACACAAAGATTCTTGTAGAAAATTTCAGCTCAGTTAACCGCTACCAATCGTCCCTACCGAGTTTTAACTCAGCCGAATGTTCATACGAATTCTCTCAATAACGCGGTAACAGTATCATTTCTCAACCTCGAATATTCATTTCTTACCATTGAGTTTTCACCGAGAACCCCATTCAGAGATTAAAGGAAATGCGATGTTCTCCTGTGTAATTGTCATATAAAATAATATATATTATATCGCACTCATGAGTGGAAAGTTTTAATAACTTCGATATAATTGAGTGTAGTTTAATGTAATCAGATGTAATTCGATGTGAGTTTTATAACATCGATGTATAATATTATTGTTATCCGGTATTTATTGGGCGTTATTCACCGATTATTTAACACACGAGCACCACTTCAAGAAAACACTCTCAATACATCGACGCGTGTTTTCTTTCGTGCACCCTCGGCGATCATCCTTTTTCGCATTTTGACGCGAATACTTGCGATTATCTGCGTCTTCCAACATCGCAACGCGCGAATCGGGACAACTTAGTTGTACAGCCGCACTTTCTATCCCTGAGAGCGGCCATGTACACATCCGGTTTCGTCAGTACTTATACGATGCGTGTAGGCCACTTTCAACTTCCTCACGTCGCTGTCGAACGCATATTATGCGACGCAACGGTCATGAACCTCCTTCGGTGGGTGGGTTCGGCGTGAATTTTTTGCGCCACCGAAGTCCAAACTCGACGTATTAAAGAGACGCCGGGTTCGCATTCGGAAGACGCAATTTGTTGAAAAAGTTCGCGAGTTCGGGGAAAAGTCTAGGAGAGAGGAGATACCTTAAATTGGCGATTGAACGCGTTGGGAAAAGTTTGAAGGACGTTGCACCTGCTTGTTTATTCATAGGCTCGTTAGCGATGCGCCGTTTAGACCGTGCGAATTCGATCTCCCCGAGTTGGAAATTGCGGCTTAATATGCGTCGAAAAGGAAAAAATGCAAGACGAACGTTATCGCGTGAGAAATATTTATGAGCGCCCGCACACCTCGCACCTCAGCACATGGTTTTCGGAAGTTTTGCCGTGGGCATGCGCGATACGCTACGCTCTATAAGAAAGAAAGAGAGAGAGAAAGAGAAAGAGAGAGAGGTGAGAGAGGATGTTGAATTTATAAAAAAAATGTCAGTCTCCGTGCAGCTTCGGACATGGACAACTCTGAACAATTGGCACAGACAGGTGCGTTGGTCATTCTCAGTGTGTTGATATTTTCATCATCCGGCGGAGAGATAAATCATTTTTGTATCACACGATATATAAATCCGTGTATCGTCGGACAATGCACGAATGTGAAAATCATGCAAGACACGAGACTGGTGGACGGGTGTTCAAATTTCTGTCGCGTGAAGATTCGAATTGCTTCGAGCGTTACGCATAGCCGACCGCTGTCTTTCTCTCGAGGGAAGAGGCCCAAACATTTCGAAGATCTCGAGGCTCCGGAAGTTCTCGAATGTCTGATATTTTAAATACCAAATAAATTACACACGCAGACGTCCAGATACACAATAGACGTGGAAAATCGGCGATATCGATGAGTCGTAAATAATAATTAATCACCACAGTGTTCGAAGCACTCGATATTTTCCAAGAACGTCCGATCTCGAGCGAAGCATTCCAAGCGATTCGTCACGCATAACGAGTGATTTTAATGTTTCGTTAGCCGTACCAATAAAGTCTCATATAAATCGGCCGTCACTTTTGCATGTCGTCAATTGCCACATGTAAAATTTTACACATCCATCAAATTTCACACGTCGTCAATTTCTACACGTCGTCAATTTCCGATACCTAGTCGTTACCGAGAGAAGCATTTCCGACGGAAGGAATCGGTTTTTTCGGTAACTTCCTCGGTAACGTGTGATTTGGTGTTACGGATAGATAACCCGCAATTGATTAGATCATTGGATCACCTTGGCGACTTTTACACGACGACTTATCAAGATTCAATTTTCACCTGTCGTCTCTGTTTATCGACCCGATGAATAATCGCTAATGACCGCAGACTTAGAATGGGCGGTCGGAGTAAATCGGATCTCCCTGAAGATCCTCGGTCTCTGGCCCGACGATAAGCTGACTCGTCGGCAGAATTTCTTCGCAGATGCTCGGGCCCTCTCTATTTTCACCCTGATGATGTTCGCGGCGATCGTGCCGCAGATGTTCGCCATGTTTCATGTCTGGGGCGACTTAATAGCCTTCACCGACAACCTGCAGATCTCCGTGCCCTTCTCAGTGACTGTCATGAAATTCTTCATCATGTGGATCCGCAAAGAAGGTAAATCCACGCGGGCGTAAAGAGTCGAGCTTCGAATGTTACCTCGAGCATGCTGACTCGAGGATAACGACGAGTACGGACGAATCCGAGGATTCATTCGTGCGAGGCAAGTGAACGTTCGATTTGATGCAAAATTCATGAAGATTTATTCGGACAATGCTGGATTGAGTTTTCGGAACGAAAGGGAGCGAAGAACTCGGGCCTTAATTAATACAAATAATGATTAACGAAACGTACGTTTCGGTCCTGTAACGACTGGAATTATCTTTCCAGCGTTTCGTGAGTATTTCAGTTGACTTCGCCAGGAAGAAAAGCAACCTGACAAACATGAAAACGAGGTCCCAAGCTGGAAGCCAAATCCAGCATTTCTGCAGAGCGCGAAGAAATCTGAAAAATGTCAAATCATTCGAACGATATGCAATTCCGTGGGGAACGTTAGCGCTTGCCTCGTCCGACGATTGATGATTTAGATTATTTCCCGCAGGTTTCGTCGATTTCACGCTTATAAGACATGTGTCCTTCTCTCCTAAGAACTCAAGCCGCTCGTGAACATGATCGTGAACGATTGGTTCAAGAAGAAAACGACGATGGAACGGAAGATGATGATAAAGCAGGCGAGAATCGCCCGTACGATCGTTATACTCGGCGGTAGCATGATGACTTTGGCGAGTATCATTCTCATCATACCGCCGTGCTTCGGCTATTCAATGAGATACCTAACAAACGTCACGGACTCGGGCAGGCCGCTGCTGCTGCAATCGTATTTCCTTCACGAAATAGACACCCCGTTCTTCGAGATCGTGTTCATCGGCCAGGCCTTGTCGATCTCGTTCGCAGCGATCTCTTACACGGGCATCGACAATTTCCTGGGCCTGGTTGTGTTTCACATATGCGCCCAGCTGGATCTCCTCAAGTACCGTTTGCTCAATTTGCACAACTTCACCGATTTCAACGCCGGGTTATCCTATAACGTCAAGGATCACCTACGTCTTATCAGGTTGTACTGAATTCCCTCGGTTGTCCGTGACGTCTGTCCTCCTTGTCATGTGACAGTGGTTTGTGCGTATATCGTGGTGATTTCTAATCGAAAACGAGGAATATCTCACGGAGTCTTTGTATAGCCGAGGTGGTGCCGTGTGGTTTTAATAATAATAACAGCAATGCGTTTATACGGGATATTTAGTCATATTGCGCGTTGCTCTCACTCGTGAGATTTCTCGAAATTTCTCGAATCTCGCCGAAAAAGAGTGAAAATTCACTCGAAACGATAATGCAAATACCAATAAAAAATAACTAATATCAAGGCAAATAAGAGCCTATGCACGGATATTGTGGTACAGTCGATACATTTAAATCACTGAAAAGTGTATAGCTTGATTTATTCAAACGTTTCGAACTCTTCTCAATGACAAGAAAACATACATAATGAAAATACCGTCACTCGGATTCGCGCGAGTGAGTGTTTCAATCGTTCGAAGTGAATTCTTTTTCTGTGACGGTAAAAATTTACCCTTCAATTTCGAGTGAAATTATTCTCACCTGACGATTTAGAGAATTCATTCTATATTCTCAAATTCGAGCGACTCGAACGTCGAATTTAATTTCTCGAGCGGAATTTCACTCTATGAAATTTATTGAAAAAATTTAGAGAGTGTGCATGACAATGCTATGTTAAATGATCCGACGTATGATTGATGTATGAGCACGCGTGTTACACACACGTCTAATTTTTAAGCAACTTCTGATTATCCCTCGAACGTTCGTTTGTGCGTACTAATCGTATCGTTGCACACCGAAGGTATAACCTTCGAAATCTCTTGTTCACTCGGCCGAAATTCGACACTATAATTGTATACAATATGTGATATCTTATACTCGTAGATCCGTCGATGTCATCGACAACACATTCAACTTGATGCTCCTGGCGCTGTTAATGTTTTTCGGCGTGTTATTTTGCATGCAAGGATTTCTGATAATTAGCGTAAGTTGAAACGGGAGAAAAACCAGACTATCGAGCCGTTGTAACGAGGTAACATGAGGTATCCGTATCGTCACCGATTTCTCATCACAATAAGACCAGAAAGACCTCGGACGTGACAGTCAAGGACCCTTGATAATATCATTTTCAATTTTTCCACGACGATGTAACTGTCGCGCACAACACAAAGATCACAATTGACTTGTGTGGCAAACCAAGTTTATCGAGATCCTGAGAGCAATTCCCGACGCAACTCGATTCCAGATCTTTTCGGATACACCGTGCACACAGCACCCGCCGAGATCGCACAGAGAATGACCCGTGTATCTGTTCGACGTGTCTAGATCATCGACGGGGAAGGCGGGGACGTTAGCGTTACGCGAATATGTTGGCTCGTTTCGATACTTATTAATACGTTCGCTCACATGTGCCTGTACTGCGTAGTCGGCGAGATCCTTATAGCCAAAGTAAGTACCCGTTGTTGTAAGTGCTGCAAAATAATCGCCCAACCAAGCCACCAACTAACAGTAACATAACATCAATGTTATAATTTCCCACTCGACAATGTAAATGCAATACAACGCGCGTGTTACGTAACAGTTACATTGTCGAGGTTCGGGAAATTATAACATCGACGTTACGTTGCTGATAGTTGGCGTTTACCGGGCGGAGTGTGCGGTGGCCAGCTTCTCCAACTGGCTCCACCGAAAGACACGGGGAGTTGTGAAAAACCCTTTCTATTTTTCGAAAGAATTGTCACGAAATTCGTCGTAGAGACGAATGTGTGTGATTTGTAATACGATGACATCTACGCAGTGCGAAGGAGTGTATTATGCGACGTACGGTTATTCCTGGTACTCGCTGAAGCCGAAGCAAGCCAGAAGCATGATGATGATGATGATACGCGCCGAGAAGCCTCTTTACATTACCGCCGGCAGGATATTCCCCATGACAATGTCGTTATTTTGTAGCGTAAGGCATTCGCTATTTAATCGAACTCTGTCCATCTAATCCCAGGGTTTCTCATCTTTTTCCCCATTACCGCCTCCTTGAGGATCTTAAGACAATTTTAAACTATTCTTACGGCCGGTATTCACAGTCGGATCTTGTATATAAAACCATCTTAAGTGTATCTTCAGATATTGTATGAGTTCATTTCATTGGCTACGAAGCATCTGAAGATAAGTTTGAGACTGTCTTAAATATAAGGTCTGACTATGAGCATCGGCCTCTTAGATATTTTCTTTTCTAGCGGCACCGAAAATTTTAATACTACGGACATACCACATATCTCTTTATGCGTTGTGTAAATATATCTATTTTCTTCGTAAAAAGAGTAAATGTAAAACTTATTGGGGAATAAGATTTTATCGGATACGCTTAAACTTTGGAGGACCACATAGCATTGTAACAATTAACAATTTTCGCCACCTGGCTGTCGCCCCTTCGCTGTCACCCCCGTTGAAAATACCTGGTCCAATCACGCGGATAGCAGAGAAAAACTCATTTTCACTCTCTGCGGATAGCCAGAGTTTACAGAGGTTGGCGTAATAGCCTTACGTAGTAGTAGTCAGAATGGGACAAGGAAAGTGTTTCTTTCCCTCTCTAAATTTTGGCAAGATAATAAAAACAAGGAAAGTGTGGATAGTGCATTACGATCTACATTCGACAAAAAAACTACGGAACATGTTCTCAAGTAAAAAAAAAAAAACCAATGAAAAACACAGTATTAACAATGCTTGATGAGAATAAATTTCATGAAAATTTCTCAATTTCACCACCAGATAACCGGTTTGCTGTATCGCCTGGAATTATTTTGACGTATTTCATTCACGTAGGAAGTATCTAGTTTCAAACGCGCGTAAAATAAATGATAATAAAATTTGTGCGGAGATAAATATTTTCTCCCTCTCACGCCCTGATTGAAATCCTGGTTACGTGACTTTAACGTTCACATGCTTTCACGAGTTTCGACTTTACGCATAAGGTCACAAATCATAATTGTTATTAGGAATATCAAAGTCTACTACGCCTCTGCATTAGAGAGTGTAATGAGTTATCTATCCCGGCGAAACTTTGTTCTCATTTATGTACTTTCGTGTATTTTCTTTTTTCTTTCAGTTGATAAAGACATCGGCCGGATACATATCCGTATTGCTCACTAATCGTTAATTCTCCGATATCAGCTGAAAATTCGTATACAACGGGTATATATGATACACATCGCAACGGGGAATAATGAATGAATTGTTTAAACGAGCAACACGTAATTGTATCCATATTCATTTTACGTTGAATGATGGCCTACAGAGCAATTGCTTGAAGCAAAGAACAGATGTATATATATATATATATATATATATATATATATAATAAATATATATATATATATATTTATTTACACTATAGTCACTGTAATAATAAAAACAAAGGAAAGATCATAATTATAGTGAAAACTTCTTGATTAAACACGATATATTCTTGGAAATGCTATTAAGTTGGAAGCAAAAAGTTCGTTTTTCAATAGGTGGCGTGAATTTGAACACGTGAAATCGTTTATATACGATTACTCTGTCGAGTAGAATTTTCGAGCGTGGTCTTGAACCGTATCGGTCTGGCGGGAAAATTTCAGAGTTGAAATAGGCATCGAACACGTTTTATTTGAGAAAGACGCTACAATTCGTCCACGGCAACACAGCGCGCACTCTGACGGTCCCAGGTGAGTACAATCGAAAACCTCCACTTGAGTGTGTTCACACCTGAGAGACACGTCCGTTTGATCTTCCGGACGAGAGGTTGCGCAGCCAGACCGAACAAACCCGATAAAGAAAAAGGGCAACGCGAGAGAGCCTCGCGACAGCCTCTTCGCGAGAGATGACGTCACCGTGTGCAGTTTATTTATAAAACCGCCGACGGACTGCGCCCGTCGCCGCACTTCGAACTTATTTGAGCGCCGTGCTTCGTCCGCAGGAAAACCGTCGGGCAGAATTCCCATCTTTCGCATCCTCGCGAAGGAGTACGTGGAGCTAAAGTAACTATTAATAGCGCTCGGCGCCGAGCGAGATCGCCGCGAGTCACCGCAACGCCAACACCGACACGCAATTGTTCGCCGACGACGAAGTTGCATAAATTCTCACCGTCGCTGAAAGAAAAGAAAAAAAAAACACGTCGGTAAATTTTCTCTCAATCAACACCAATCGACGTCGACGGTTGCACACAAGGACACCGCCGATTCGACGTTGTTAAAAAAAAAAGGAGGGAGAAAAAATCCGCCGGTTCGAGCGAAGTCGATAGTCCGCGAGTTATAACGGTGTGCATTCCACGTCGGATATCGTCGGCTGCAAAACGGGACAATTTTATTCTCGCGTGTGGAACGAGTGACGACGTACGTTAATCAACTCTTCGGGATTTGACAGTCGATACGTGACAGTGACATGTGAAGCATTTCACGATATCTGCTCGATTTTCGAGAACCGACGATTGATCGGCTGAATCATCGCTCGACTCGCGTTTCTCTCTCTCTCTCTCTCTCTTTCTCTCTCTTGCGTTCGTGTGGGATGATATTACGTTTACGGTTCGTTTCATCATAATTGCGTGTCATTCTCGCGTCTCCCATTGTAAATCTCTGCATAATCGTAAGAAAAATAAAAAAAAACGAAAATGGTGTAATCTTGCCGCGGTGTTGGAAGGCGGTGCTCTCGCGTTGTTTTTGTTCGGCGTAACTGTCATATTTCTCGATTAGATCCGTGTTAAATCAGGCATTAGAGAACGAAGATTGCGGATTAGCGAGTCGACGGATTTTGGATTCTCGCATTCCCCCGTTTCTTCTGACCGGTCGAGTTCGCTCGATTCGCGATCCCCGGTTTCCGATGCCTGGTCTGACGTGGCCTTACCACCAGGTATTTTGAGCGCACGCAAGTAGGAAAAATCGTGTTAAATTCGCGAGAGTGGAGTAAAATGAGGCAAATGCGAGGCATAACGGGGGCATATTCGATGAATGTTCAGCCACATTCAGCAGAACGTGCAATTTGCAACCGTGACTTGGAAGTTTTCTGCGATTGGGTTGTTCTTTCAGATCCAAAAGAACAATCCAATGTCAGCTCACAGGAAACTGTCTCAACGGTTGTAAAATAAACGTTCTGCTGAACCTGGCCGTTCAGTTCAGTTAAATTAGGATTAAAAGTTCAATCAAGATTTAATGATCACATAGTTACTTGGGTTTTCGTCATCCTCAGGTACTTCCATACAACAGGGCCAAGTGAGAAGATACAAAGATGAGCTTACAGTGGACACTGATCGCTGGTTTCCTCTATGTGGAAGTCGCGATAGTTCTCATGCTAGTGCTACCGGTAGCTTCTCCATCAAGATGGCAGAAGCTATTTAAGTCTCGGTTCTTACAAAGCCTAAGTAGCCGAGCATCCATTTATTTTGTGGTCCTGCTTGGTGTCTTGGTCCTCTTCTTGTTGGATGCCATACGAGAGATGCGAAAATATTCTTCGAGCTTAGACCATACCGAGCATCAACACTTGAACGTGGAGATGCAAGGTAAATTGTTTAGTGTTGAAGAAGAAGAACTTGTATAATCGATGGGCAAGTTGTGGACATGTCTTGATGTCTTTTAGAAAACATGCGACTGTTCCGCGCGCAGAGGAATTTCTACATATCCGGCTTCGCGCTGTTTCTCAGTCTGGTGATACGTCGTCTCGTCCTTCTGATCTCCATCCAGGCCAGCTTGCTTGCGCAGAACGAAGCAGCCATGCGACAGGCACAGTCCGCGACTACCACGGCCCGAAGCTTGCTGTCCCAGAGGACGATCGGGGAAAGCGCGCAGAACGACTCGAACGAAGCGCACGACAAAGCAGTATCGGAACTGAAGAATCAGATCAAGGAGTTGCAGGCGAAGAATCTTGAGCTCGAGAAGGAATTGACTAAAGAGAGTAAGGATAAGGAGGCGCTCAAGTCGCAGGCGGACTCGCTCGCGAAAGAATACGATCGCTTGAGCGGCGAGCACGCGAAAGTCATGCAGTCGAGCGGCGACAAGAAGAGCGATTGAGTATCCTTTCATTTCTGTCGGGTCACCCTTCTCTTGATTCTTTGTTTGTTTTCGCCCATCCGAGTTCTGATTTAAGGTTTTTGTTACATTATATTGAGTTTGGTGTTGCCTAATTTTATTAGTACGCATTTCGGGAGTTTCGTCATCGGAACATATTTATACCTTTTGCCAGAGAAGAGAGAAGGTTGTATATATAAGTATACTATTATTATTACTGATATTATTGGAGTACCAATGCTCTGGAAATTCAGTACGCGCTTCGTGCACTCTGCGCTATTTACTTTCTGTAGTATTGTTACGTTTAAGCGAACTTTAAATATTTTTACGAAAAAGGAACATTTTTTTTTAAGTATGGTTCATTTTTTTTTTTTTTCTTTAAATACAGTAGCTTATTTCGGAGGGACGAGCGGTACAAATGTTGTTGATAGCGAGCCGGTCATCCATCGTAAGATCCCTTTACACTGTAAGCGGGTTATATTCTCGAATTCATCACTGATTATTGCGAGCTACACATTCGGATATTTATAATGTACGAGTGAAATTATTTATTTTCCACGTGTTTTAGACATATTTCGAATGTACTTCCAATCTTGCATTTGCAATATTCTCGTTGTATGTTTGTGCGTTAGAGAAAAGAAAGGGCTGATGTTTGTCGCTTCGGTTTAGAACTGAGATTTGCAGAGACGTAAAAGTACATATATATATGTACATATATATATATATATGTCCGTACATATATATATATATGACATATATATATATATATATATATATATTGGTTACATTAATGATTATTAATTAATCGGTATCTTGATGATAAAAGATCGAGACTTGTGGCGGGGCTCAGGGAATCTTCTGATTTTGGGACGTGAAATTCTAGAACTGCTGTAGATGACGAAACACGGCCGAAGAAATGAACATCGGCCCTGCCTCTCTGAAGATACAGATTCACCGGGAATCTTGCGAGATAAATATATTACAGAACGTGTACTTTTCATAATGTCGCGCTATATCGTAGGCCTTCGCTCGGGTCAAGAACGCCCGGGCTATGCTGTATATACTTGAAACTATAAATAGAAATTGTACTGAGAATCACGGAACGAGTTACTCAGAAATCCCACGTACACGCTTCCTTGTTTAACCGCTAACTAGCATTCTTTTATTTAGCTCCGGATCATTTTAATGTTTACATGTAGAATATAGAAAAGAAGGAACTTCGATATTTGGCAGTGTTTATCTTATAATTTATCGAATAGCTATAACCATTTTATTACAAATCGTTATGCTCCTTGAATCATTAATTTTGTTTACATTTTTCCCTTTATATATTCTTCTCTTGCCTTCTACTATTCACCGGTGATTCGGCTGGGATTAAAATAAGCGCTTTCACATCTTCACACTTGTTTACTTACTGTATAATTTAATTATTAACGACTAAATGTCCTTCGAAGAATTCGTTGAAACGCGCGGGCTCATTACGAGCGCGCTTTGATCGCGTGTGTATAATGCACGTTCCAAACACAATTTGAGAACTCCTCCACCAAACTCGAACATGCGAGGGTTTCCTTGGGATGGCTCTGGAAACACTTGAGAACTTTGCTGCTGTTCTCTATACACGGCTGCACTGTGCTCTGGATGCCGGCAGTACTTTGTCCTGCAACAATATTTATATTATTTCTATAATGTTAGCTTGCCATGTTGTTTCGTGAGTAATATTTTTCGTTACGTCAGTTATATTTAATAATATAAAATATATAAAACAATTAAAAATATACGACATAATTATATAAAATATTACATACAAATTGTGTATATACACGTCAATTGTGTGTATATAATTAATATATCCTCAATATCTGCACGAGTTTCAATTAACACGAGCAATCATTAAATAACACAATATATGAATTATATACTTTTAATTTTATTCGCATCTTGAGATATATTTTAAATGGCAATGAAGAGACAAGGATACATTCCTGACGTTCATAAAACTGTATTCCTTATGTATAGCGAATCTTGCTCGACAAACACATTGAATCTCTCATAAAAGTATACAAATAATTGGCCAATCAGAAGACCTGTCACTGGACTGTCGGACTATTAGACAGCATTGAGACTCACCGGCTGTAGCGGGCGAAGTTTCAGCCAGAGTTTTCTGGTATTCCTCTGTCAAGATGCGATTGATCTTTTGATAAGAATCATCGACATTCTGCAAACGCCTACGCCAGTACTGTTCCTGCTGTTTCAACTCTTGTTCCTTCTGCTGTTGTATCTGGTGGGCCGACATCGTCAATTCGGGATAATAGTACACCGGGTGGCCAGGCGTCGAGTTCGGGGTCGCAGGCGGCACAAATGTCGTTGCAGGAGGTGCTGGTGAATATTCGGCCGGTGTTGTCGGTGTTCTCGCGTCCGAGGCAGCCTCCTCGCTCGCCTTTGCTTTTTCTCTCTGAGCGATACGCTGTACAAGCGAGTTGGACACCTTGATCACGCCGATCTCGTCCTCATTCGTGACGGTCAATTTGCGGGCGCTCTGACCGGAGCCCATCTTCTTCTACCAGAGTCCTGATAACCGCGATAACCTCGCTAATTCAAACGCTCCCGAAGCTTACCGCTCTGATCATTACGGATTCTGGTCAAATATCGTGGTCTCATTAACAATTACGCATAGTGACACGTTCACTCGCGATATCGCTTACCTGTTGAATCCCGTGTAAATCACTCACCGACCGTTTTCAGAGATCAGTTTCAGCGAAAGCTGAAAAGTTACGTGACATCCTGCGACTTATGTCTCCTACTCCACCACTACTCACCGATCGACTCTCATACGTCACGTGTCCAACACTAGAGAGAAACGTAGGTAGAATACCGAGAGAATACTGAGAGCGGCCGCGCCGGTCTTTTCCTCGATACCGTTTTACGACGACTGCCGTTTGGTGCGCCATCTGCATCCACTTTTACGTTGGAACTAGATGCACCTACTTTCCGTACGACCATATAAGTTTGATGGCCATAAGATACATCGTTCTTATGAGTAATAAAATTACTGGTCAACAATAATTCATCACTGACCAATTTGTCATATAAGCAGTAATATTTTCGTCTAAGGGTTATTTATGCAAACTGCATAAAATGGCTCATTTTATAGATCTAAACAGTAAGAAAAGTTTTTTAACATGTTTTACTCTTCGTAAATTACAGACAGACCATGCTTGTATGTGCAAAATAGTTTCACGTGTGGATAATTAACATGCCAATTTACGGTGTGTGACATCGCTTTAATAGAATTTATTTTACTACACCGTGCTATTTTACAGTTTCGAACAATTTTGCATAATATACGACACATCTTTTGTTATCGTTACTCTGTTGTTGTTGATCGTTTGATCTCACTGTATGAATTGATTATTATTATAAAAATGTAATTTTCTATTTTTACGTGAAGTGATATTTCATATATATACATATACTGTGTATAATATATGTATACGTATACAATATGTTCATAACAGTATGCAAAGGGAGAAGGATGATGATGCGCCCATGTTGAGCAGACTACGAGTCCGTAAACCGGCGCCTTATTTTTCATTCACGGAAGTTGCGGACGCATAGCACGGACACGCACCGGATAAAAGCATTATCGATAGTGACGGCAAATGGATGCAGCGAGATAATTCCAACGTAAAAGTGGATGCAGACGGCATACCAAACGGCAGTCGTCGTAAAACGATATCGAGGAAAAAGCCGGCGTAGCCGCTTTCAGATTTTTCTCTGCTGCTAGTACTAAAATTTAGTAACATCGAATTAAAAAAATGAGAACTATCGACACAGAGATTAATTGAATTTAAAGATATCGAGAAAGATTGTCGATCCTATTGATCAAAAAAAATGATCGAAAATCGATTTATTGGCTATGTATATATGGCGGCCTCTTTACCTCGATCACGAGGTTATTCCCATTTACCTTTGTGTCCTATTCGTTAAGTGGTGTGGGGGATCCTCTTACTGGACTCCTGGAACCAATATTGAGAGAGAGAGAGACCACATGAGGTTAAAGTCTTGTGCAAGTATGGATGAATACAGACGTGTTTGGTGATCCGTGAGTGTGCACGTGCACATGCTCGCTTCGTTAATTTTGAACCAACCTATTTTTGACAAAGTCGTTGCTGACTTGACAGAACGTAATTTTGGAACCCCCCATCTTATCTTTTAGAACGCATTTTTCTGAATTCTTATTCTACAGACTTGTAATGGTGTTGGGGCGTAATATTCTTTGAGTTGTCTATAACCATATTGAAAGAGAGAGAGAGAGAGAGACCACGAGTTTATCAAGTTGTTTTATTGTAATATTTTTCGTGTAACATTTTGAGCGAGACAGTATTCCAGACGCATAAAATTTGATTTTTACTAAGTTAGCAAAAATGGAGTATATTACAGTTCATGATCCAGAAAAGGATAAAGCGATAATGTACGTATATAATAGTTGATATATAATATGGTGCAATATATAATGGTTATTTGTAGTAGAATCGAAATTAATTTCCAAACGAATTAGTTTAACTCAGATTTATTTACAGTCTGTGCTGCGAATGTGGAACACCGATTGAGCCAAATCCTGCTAATATGTGTGTAGCGTGTTTACGTACTCATGTTGATATCACAGAGGGTATCCCGAAACAAGCGACCTTACACTTCTGTAAAGGTTGTGAGAGGTTCGTTATTTTTCAAACATGATTGGAAACTGATATCCATATTAAATTCGTTAACTTAAATTAATGTCGCAATTGTAAATTGATGGTGCGTTCACATGATAGATATCTTCAGCCACCTGCCGAGTGGATTCATGCTACATTGGAATCGAAGGAACTCATGTCATTATGTTTGAAGAAATTAAAAGGATTAAACCGTGTGAAATTGATAGATGCTGGTTTTGTATGGACAGAGCCACATTCTAAGAGATTAAAAGTAAATTTCATATAGTAATGTGAAATTTTCTTTTGTGAAACTGTATTTAAAATTGTGCGAAGAGTTATGATAAGAGTATTTGAGCAATTAACAACTTATAGGATTTTAATTAATATTTAGTCACCATAGTGGTTGTGTGATTCATATATACCGTTTAATAATAATAATGTACCATTAAATTTAATAATAATGTACCGTTTAATTTAATAATATTCATGAGAGAATATGTATACATACTATTCAAACAGTGATATGACTTTAATCGTTAATTTACTGTGGAATTTAGTTTTATTACATAATACGCTTAATTTAGGTAAAACTGACTGTCCACGGGGAAGCGATTGGTGGTGTAGTTTTACAGCAAATATTTATAGTGGAATACATCGTGAATCATCAGATGTGCGACGATTGCCACCGTACAGAAGCTAAAGATTACTGGCGTGCATCTGTAAGTTCTTGTACATACCAATACCAAAGAAAACGTGGGGGATATACAATTCAGAAGAATTTCAAATATCAAGCTACTTATTTTTTCAGGTGCAAGTTCGGCAAAAAGCAACAAACAAGAAAACTTTTTTCTACTTGGAACAACTTATATTGAAACACAAAGCACATGAGCAAACACTTGGTATAAAGCCCATTCACGGTAAGTGTTATGTTTATCAGTGACTTTTAGTCATTATTATTTTATAATCAATAGTAAATTATATGTTAAATGAATATATAATATTAAAACCTTTCTCTTTTACTTTCATTTAATTTAACCGACAGAGGGTCTGGATTTTTTCTATGCAAATGAAGCCACAGCTAGGAAAATGGTTGATTTTCTACAAACGGTTATACCGTGCCGTTATCAGCATTCGAAAAAATTATTATCACACGATATTCACAGCAACATATACAATTACAAATTTACATACAGGTAAGCACATTTGTCGCGATGTATATTGATGATCTCAATTAACGTCTTCATTGTACTAAAACAGTGTTGAAATCGTCCCGGTCTCCAAGGACAGCGTGGTCTGCTTACCACGAAAATTAACTCAACAGCTGGGTGGAATCAGTCCTATTTGTTTGGTATACAGAATTACGAACTCTGTGCATCTTATGGATGTTTCATCGGGGCAAAGTAAGGGATTGCGATATTTTAGCGTCAATATTAATAGCATAATTAATTAATTCGACCGATAACATATCGCGAATTGTTATTTCTGATTTAGTTGCTGAGGTTAGCACTACTCTTTATTGGAGACACGCCTTCAACAGTATATGCAATCCGAAGCAATTAACGGAATACGTCGTGATGGATATCGAGCCGATAAAGCATGAAGACAAAAAAATTTTTCCAGGACAAGGATCTGTCTCTAATAAAGTAAGTTTTCAATTCTGTGCAAAATACGTAAGTGATATAATATATACATTACTTGAGGGAATTTTAACATGTCATGCACAAGATAAAGATTATGATAATTTTTAGCACGTCATAGCGGATGTATGGCTAGTGAAGGCATCCGAATTAGGAATAAACGACAACTCAACTCACGCACGCACACATTTAGGACACGTGCTTAAACCCGGTGATTCCGTTCTCGGGTAAGATTATGTAAAGTAATATCTTACAAAACTTATACACATATATACGTCAGAGTAATTTATATAAAATTCACACAAATGTGATATTATGAAAAAATAATATATAGAATGTTTCCTAACGTAACGAATTGTCGAGACAGAAAAAGCCGTAATTCGGCAACCAAGTCGTCACACGCGTATTTATATGAGCTTTTTTCGTTTCGTATGCTAAATTTACAATATTTTCCACATGCTATGAAACATGGTTGGGAATATCTTACATTAATATAATGTAATAAATCCTGAACAGAAGCGTGTACAATCAAATGTTTTTCTTTGTACTTATCTATTGTAGTTACGCTTTGAAAGATAGCAATATTAATGATGCCAACTTCGATAAATTGAACGGTGATACAATACCTGATATCGTTCTGGTGAAGAAATTCTACGGTTACGATAAGGCTGCCCGTCGCAGAGCTAGAGTGTGGAAATTAAAACATATTGCTGACGAGGTGATCAGCATGAGCACAGAAAATAAGTAAGAGATATATTGAGCATTAATAAAATTTAGCGACAAATCTCATGTGTTGCAAATCATCCGATGGAATGTAATAATTGCATTTTTCTTTTGCAGCGAATATAATGAATTCCTCGATGAGTTGGAAGAAGACCCGGAAATGAGACAGAATATCAACATATTTAGAGATACGAGGAAACAAATTCCCGTCGACACTAATGAAATAGATCCAAGCATTCCGCAGATTACACTCGAAGAGATGCTCGATGATCTTGTAATCGAGGATGTTGAAATGACCGAAGTTTATGAATAAAAGTATATATTTTGTAAAATAACTTCTTTCTCGTAGCGAGCCTAAGAGGTTGTATTCTCTAAAAAACATATCGCAGGAATGCTTTTTTTTGCAAAGGCATGATCCCTTTGAAATGTGTTATAGTAAGTGTACAAGTTATTGACAATTGAAAAATTACTTTTGCCGATCCAAGCTGTTTGTTCGATTATCTGATAAATATTATCGTGTTGTCTTCTAATAGCGATAGATACTTTTTGATTATATGACAATTCGTTATCAATAAAAGTGATAAAGGTGAAAACAATTGCTTATACGCGAGCAACATCTTTCTTCTCCTTTTTTCTTCTTTTACAATTTGTGAGATTAGAATGCGTAATTTTAAGTATGATTGTTGTCCTTTTTATAAAATTATTCTTTTAAATATTTACAATAATTATAATAATAATAATTTAAGAATTCCTTTATACAGAACATTTAAAAAAAGATTAAGTCACTCCAAGATCTTAAATCTAAGACATTCGAAATGTGTAGTGCTTATAGAAATAGATAAAATAAATATCCGATCGAAATGGATCGTATGATAACCTTCAGAGATTAAAGTGATTATAATTATAATTTATTATCAATAA